GTTGAGCTGTTGTTCAGCATCTTAGCTGTAGAGGGCAGTGTCACTGGCCCTCATATGTGGGATCCAAACCGGGGTGCTCTGGCGTCCCAAGCCAGTTCTTAACCATCACGCCACTCGGCAGGCCCTGTAATAGGTTTTTAATATTTTGGATTATTCCCTTATATTAAATTTTTAGAGTTGAGTGATGAGCAAAATCTATAAACATAAAAGTCTGTTAATACGAGGTGTGACCAAACAATACAGTGAATGTTTAAATTTAAAAAATGTGTTATAGTAGAAAGCACATTGCCTTTAATCCTCCTCAGAATACTTCCCCTCACTTCAAACACATTTATCTCATTGTTCTTGCCATTTTCTGAAACAGTTCTAAAGTCCTCTTTCGTGTCTTCAGCTGCGCTGTGGTGGCTGCCTCACTGTTCTGAATCATTTTGACTTTGGGGAAGAGCCAAAAGTCACATGGCTCCAGATCCAGTGAATAAGGCAGATGAGGACACACCATTATGTTTTTATTTGACAGAAATTGCCATATACCAGAGGCGATGTGTGACACGGAGCATTGTCATGATGGAGGATGATTTCCAGCACACTTTAAAACACACCTTCTCTCAACCACAGCTCACACCCAACTGACTGCACTGAACAAGTTGAAACTTGTCTCACACTGTTACTAAGGTTCGACACCACTTCCCGTATTAAAGATCCTTGCCTTTCTGTTGGATGGCACTGGGCAGCAGCATTTACCGTATTTGCTGATCGCAACAGTAAGGTTCCATGTCACACATCACTTCTGGTAGGGCAATTTGTGTCAAATAAAAACATTACAATATGTCCTCATCCACCTTATTCACCGGATCTGGCACCATGAGTCTCTAGCTCTTCCCCAAAGTCAAAATGACCATGAAAGGTAAAAGTTTTGAATCCATTCAAGACATGGTGGCAGCCACAACAGCGTAACTAAAGACATTCATGAAAGAAGACTTCCAGAACTGCTTCAGAAAGTGGCAAGAACGATGGGATAAGTGTGTTCAAAGTGAGGGGGACTGTTTTGAGAGGGATTAATGGCAAATTGTCTTTTACTGTAATAATTTTAACATTCACTGTATTTTTTATCATACCTCGCACATATTGCTAAATTACTTTAGAAGTTTTACAAATGTATAATTCCTACTAACCTTTTATGAAAGTTTCTAGTTGCACCTAAATATTTTTAATTATTTTTATTTTGATAGCCACTTACATCTCTTCCACAATCATATGCATTCTCTTCTATCTTACCAGTACTCTGTAGCTCTCTTATGGCTCATAACACATTCTTCCTCCATCATGTGTCTACAAATATAGCTGTAGAAGAAAACAACTGGAGGACAAGAACAATCTTATTTTTCTTTATCTCCTAGCCCGGTGCCTTTTGCATTATATTCATTCATTCAAGGAACATCTATTGAGTTCACACAATAACGGAGACAGGTTCAATAGGCATTCAAAACATTCATGGAACTGAACACCACTAGTTTCAGATATCCTTTTATTGTACAGGAGGTCTCATTTAACATTCATGCCCCAGGTTTTAAATTTCCAAATTAAGGCTTTCTCATTCTGTGGTGCACTAATCCGGAAACAAAAGCGCTGAAAGTTTAACCTTTAAATGTATTAACTATGCACACGCCGTTCCCTCTACCCTGTTAGTAATTCCTTAAAATGCACCCGAACGCCATACTATGGGGGACTTCGGACGAGGATACTAAAATTTAGGACAGCATGGTGGAGCAGGTACTTTTTACCCAACTCTGAAAGGCACGACGGTAATTAATTTCTCTATAAGGACACCAGGGTAACGAATATGCAAATTGTGGCAGCGCACACTCATTACAATTCCGGGAGCGCCCACAGCGCCCTCCCAGCACTCCGCGCCGCCTACCGAGCTAAGCGCCAGCTCGCGTTGGGCGGGACTCGCCTCTTTCAAGCAGCCTGAGCCCCGCCCCGCCCCGCCCCGCCCCGCCCTCTGCGTGCGCCCGGAGCCCCGCCTCCCGGCAGGAAAGGGCGGCCCAACGCGGCCGCCCACCCAAGCTCTAGCTTTCGGATTCCGGCCCGGGCTGTGCGTGACAGGCGCTGCTGGCGAGCGCCATGAGCGCGCGCCTGTGCCAGTGACATCCTCCGGGATGGAATGTGGCCCGGTCGCGGGCGAGAGGCCGAAGCGCCCGCGGGACCGCCAGCGGCTTCTGTTCTTCCTACTCGCCGGCCGCTGTGGAAGGCTGGGCGGCCGCGGCGTCCTGGCGCGCCGCTGCCTGTCCGCGCTTCCGGGAGGTCTTGGGATACTGCGCCCCCGCGTCCTGGCAGCCCGGTGCAGCGCGTCACGTGCCTCCGCGCTGCTCCTCCTAGTGCTCGTGCCCTCCCCACGCCTGGCCGCTGCGGCCCCGCGTCGGCCGATCGGAGACTGGGAGCGCTCGCGCCCGGTGGCTTCGGCTCCCCTGGCCGGGCGCGGCGGTACGCGGAGGTGTCAGCGGGGCCTTGCTCCGGGCGTCGCCTGTGCCGCAGGCGCCCTCCACCTGTGCCACGGCCGACTGGCCGCCCTCGCTTCCTCGAGGAGAGGTAGGGCCAGGTGGGCAGAGGAGAGGGGTCTCGCCTCTCAGGGCTGGGGCGTCGGGGCGGGACGAACTTTGGCTTTGACCTCCCCTAGGGGAAGGCTGGGAGACCTAGAGGTCTGGTCACCTGAGGTCACCACGCTCCTTCAGGGGCGTGGGGGACGAAGGTCTGGCGGACCCCGCCCTTCTGTTCCGCCGTAGCCCGGGCTTCGCCAGCTAAGAAGGTCTGAATTACTCGGAATCCCGGGCACTAGGGTTTTGGCGCAAACTTGAAATGGGATGCGGGGAGGGCAGTGATCTGATGCACGCTCAGGTGCAGAGAGCTACCTCGTGGGCGCCGCCGTACAGGTTGCTATTTTGTCAGGTTATTTTCTCAGGTACGCAGCTTGTGGCTACTCGAGTAAAGGATGTGCAGGAGGCTTGAAAGTTTGAGAAGCGGAGCTCTGGGAAATGAAGGAATTGTTTTACAATTTCATTTTAAACTCAAATGGATTTGTTAATTCCGTCGTTATGCACTAACACCTACTCTGTGCCTGGTACTTTCCTAGATATTTAGGATCTATCAGTCAACAAATTATTTTTCTTCTTGGAACTTAATTCTAGCAGAGGAGATGATACACATATATATTTAAATAGGTGGATACAATTATAATTTGTGCATATATATACAATTTACATATGCATATATAATATTTATATATACATAATCTGATTAATGCTATAGAAAAAAATGGAAGTGGTAAGGCTTAGAAAGTGAGGTGGCCCTCCAGTTATGAATTTCAATGGCCCCATCAGAATAGGTTCCAGTGAGAAGGTGACATCTGACTAAATAGTTGAAGGGGGTGAGGGCAGTCATTGACCTGGGTGAGATTAAGTAAGTATAAACATGCTCAATTTACTAGATAGCAAATTGTTGATTTAAAAAATGTCATTTTGGGGCCGGCTGAGTGGCGCGTTGGTTAAGAGCTGGCTTGGGATGCCAGAGGGCCCCGGTTCAGATCCCATATATGAGGGCCAGTGACACTGCCCTGTGCAGCTAAGATGCTGAACAACAGCTCAACCTGGAGCTGAGCTGCCCTGAGTTGCTGGCCACGGCATAGGCTGCAGTGGGTTGCCATGGGCTACCNAACAAAAGGACAGCAACTTGTCTGTTCCCCTTCCCCCAATTCCCCAGCACTGTTCCCATCCCCCCAACTCCCCAATAAAAATCTTTAAAAAAAAATATTAATCACCCCTTTCATAGTTATATAGCAAGAATGATATGTCACCAAAATATGTGTCTCCTAAAGGCCTCAAAATGCAACCAACCCTGTAGACACCTTCATCTTAGACTCCTAGCCTCCAGAACTGGGAGGAAATAAATTGCTATTGTTTAAGCCACCCAATCTGTGGTACTTTATTATGGCAGCTCTAGAAAACTAACACACACCCCTTCCTCAACAACCTTGAAGAGTTACCCAACTTTTCAACAGAGGGTGAGTTTGGCACCCTAAGCAGAGTCCACTTACTAGTCTATGGTTGTACACCGTTATGGCCACTAGACTGCCATCAGCTATCTAGGAACTGTCTGCTGACACTGTCCGCTCAGGAACTTTGAGGCCTGTTTACACCCATGTCTTCCCTGTCACTTAATACCATCTCAAAATGCAAACCCCTGTGGCCACCTTACCTTTTCAAGTGGAAGCAGCTTATTGTCCTTCACATCTGTCTTCCCAGATAGTGGAGAAGGTGGAAAGGTGGAAAGCAAGGGATTCTTAACTGCCTTCTCTTTTTTCTTAATCATCAAAGTTATGGCTTTTAAGCATTTGTTTTTCTTCCTTATTTTTAAATTTGTTTTTATTTCTTTCCTGTTCTCCTTGTTTGGGAGCAGAGACTGTTGTTTATCAAAGACTTCTTTTGTAATTATTTGTATCCCCTTGAATCATTACTGAGTTTATGCATTTTCTAATAAATGGAATAGAAACTGAAAGAAAAAAATGTGTCTCCTAGTATCTCTGTCTTTTTAGTACAGACATTACCTGAATATTACATTCTCCAAAACTCACTTACATTTCAATTCTTTTACATCCAGCTAGATGGGATGCGCTTGCACTGCTGACCAGAGCAGGCCATTTTAACATGGAGGTTGAGGGGAAGAGGTTTTGACCAGCTGTGTATCAATTGTGTCAAAACATTGTATCAAAATGAAGAAATACTAAGGTGATCAAATATATGGTGATGGAAGGGGAACTGGCTCTGGGTGGTGAACACACAATGTGATATATAGATGATGTATTACAGAATTTTACACTTGAAACTTATGTAATTTTACTAACCACTGTCACCCCAATAAATTTTAATTAAAAGAAAAAAAATGAAGGAACGCTATTTTTATTGCTTATTAATATTTCAAACAAACATCACAGACACTTAGCCCCCACTCTGGCCTCACCCCATCTCTGAGCCTATCCCATTCCCTCATTCCACACCAAAATAACTGCATCCAAATTATAAAAACTATTTATTTTTCACGATCAATTTTCATCATAGACATGCCGATATATCCCTGATCTTCACCGCAAATGCCCACCCCATTTCATTACCCACACAACGATGGAAAGAAGCCCCCCAAAATTATGTGTCCAAACTGGGTGAGACATCAGGTGCCCATATTACCATATTAATGAGAAATTGTAGCAGCTTCTTTTGGTATGCCGTGTCCCTTCCCCTGACTCACTTCTGATTTTGGTCACAACCACAGTAGACAGTTCCTGCTAGTTTAGACTCATACCTACAAAGTCCACATCACGCCTTTACCTCCAGTCTCCATGTCCTGCCTCAAGTATTTCTCTGAACTCTCAGGAGCCCACTTGGCCCTCACGGAAACAGACTGGACACACAGGGCAAATAACACTCCTAGGGTGACCCTCAACCAATGGAGGACAGCAGAGCTGCTGGTGAATAATGCCCCCCCACCCCCCTCCCCCGATCTCATCCTGCACAGACAATTCTAGGAGGCTGCCTGTACCCTGCTGGTCCAGGTGGAATTGAACTCCTATCACCTGGATAACTCACCTCTTTCCTGGCCTATCTCTCTCCACTGCCTTCTTATTGCCTAAAACCACCTCTCCCTCAAGTCTTTGATTCAGGCTCAACTTTGAGAAGAACCCATACTAGGATGGTTATTATTTTTTTCAAACCTGTATGTTTCNCAGGACAAAGTCACTGTATTAGTCTGCTCTGGCTGCCATAACGAAGTACCACAGACTGGGGGACTTAAACAGCGGAAATCTATGTTCCCACAGTTCTGGAGGCTGGAAGTCCCAGATCAAGGCGTCGTTCGAGTTAGTTTCTTCTGAGGCCTCTCTCCTTGGCTGCCTTCTTCCTGTGCCCTCTCAAGCTCTTTCCTCTGTGCACAGGCACACCTTAGGTTGTTGCCACAACCAACACATCAAGCCCTACTATTCACAAATATCGGTGTGAAGCTCTATCTTAACTGCCCCGAATGGGTGCCATAAATTTGTTTCCTTGTGGTTGTTGGTAAAAAACAAAATGTGGAGGTTTGGGGGAAAACAAACCTTTCCCTTACAACAGAAATAACTTCCACTAGTGCAAAAAGAATTAGCCACAAGTACAGGAAGTAGGATGTTAAAAAGTGCCTGGAATCACCTTCACTAGGAGCAAAGAAAAAAAATAACAGCAGAAGTCAATGGTGCTCGAGCTGGCTGAGCCCCAGGACCTCATTTTGAACAACACCGCCTCATTAGACATTTTTTTTTCACTGCCTTAAGGCGCCCTGGTAACTATTAATAAAAATCAGGGGTGGGTTTGTTCCGGGAAGCATTTCATCAAAGTAAAACTCAGCAACTTTAGTTGTCTTCCCATCCATTCCCCCTGAGTATCTCCTCACTACTTTTCACTTCTTGTTGAACTTCTGAAACAAAACAGAATTATGAGCTTCCCTTTATACCTATCAGAGCACCATAACTTAATAGTATTTGTTTTCCCTTTATCCTGATTGAGTCTATTAAAGCACAATAAATGGCTGTGATGAGCCCATTTTCTGTGATCCCAATTAACTTCTGCATGGTGATGGATTTTCTAGCTCAATATATCGTATGCTCTGTTTCTTTAACCACTGCCAAGAGCTACTGCCTTCCATTACCCACAGTTTCCCCGGGCAACCAATCCCAAGTACAGTAAAACCTTGGTTTGTGAGCATAATTCATTCCAGAAACATGTTTGTAATATAAAGCACTTGCATATCAAAGCGAATTTTCCCATAAGAAATAATGGAAACTCAAATGATTTGTTCTGCAACCCCAAAATATTCATATAAAAATGATTACAATACTGTAATATAATATAAAATACTAAAGAAAATATAAAGAAAAATAAACAAATTCACCTGCACTTACCTTTGAAAACCTTCGTGGCTGGTGTGAGGGAGACAAGAGAGAGGAAGGTTATGGTGTAGGACGACTCTCACTATCACTAACAGAATCACTGCTCTCTATTGGCTCAATGGAACCTTTTTCTTTTCATGCTACTTTAGCAAGGAACCTATCCAACCACACTTGCTTTTGCCTCCTTTTGAGGATTTCGCGGAAAGGTGACATTGCGTTGTCATTAAACAGATTCATTGCTCACACTGCTACGGCCTTATTCAGGTGGTGCTTTTCTACAAAATTTTGCACTGTTTCCCACATATTACACATCTCCCTAATCTCATTTGAAGTGAGGGATTCCTCTGCCGTTTTCTCCTCCTCCTCTGCAGACAAGATCTTCTCCATAACCTCTTGTTGTTGCTCGCGATGCAGATCCTTCAGTTCCTTGGTGGTCAGCTCCTGGCCATGTTCCCCCACCAGCTCTTGAATGTTGTCCTCATTCACTGATTTCTGACAAACACCGCGGCCTGAAACCAAGAATCCGAGCATGGGAGACAATCACCCACAATCCTGAAGCGAGAGAGAGAGAACCATTGGCTCAGTTGTGATCATGTGACTTAGGCGTCAGGTACTACTTGTA